GAAACCCCGTTATAGAAAGTCAGAAGGGCTTGTGGCCTCCCCAGGAGAGCATCAGCAGCTACGAGCCTTGGGCAAATCCCCAATCATCTTACACTTCAGTCTCCTCAACTGGAACGCCCATGTCATTTCCAGACCCACAGTCTATGAATGTATGAACTGGGAACTGTGTTCCTTGAAGAGTGATCGGTCCTTCTGTTAGTAGTGACAGCCATGGTTGCAGCAAGGAACACGGCCTTGCTGTGCATGCTGGCCCTGGTTACTGAGGCCAGTCTCCCTGTCACAGGGGACAGCACAAGGGATCAGCAGACATGGGATGTCAGGGCCAGAAGAGAGAGTTTTGCACATCGAGGGTCCCTAGTTCTGTCTCCTATGATAATGTTTGGGAAGTGGTCACGACCCATTTAAACAGTTGCTCTCACCAGGGTTTGGCATGCCAAAGGTGTGCAGCACACGGAGCAGGCTGAAAAGGCCGCTCTGGGACAAGACAAGTGGACGAATTCCCAAATACACGTTACGTAAGACGATGTAACATGGCCTTGGTATTCTGTCATAGGCCGTCTGTGCACATGGTTCCATAAGAGCTTCAAATAGTCTTGTTTTGCAGGTGACTGGACAATGTAAGGTCGTAGCTACAAGATACTCTAACGAGTCTCAAGACTTTAGAGTGAATGGTGATACCCACACCATGAGCTCTGGTAAGGTCGTCTGCTGAATTGCTCATTCCAGATTAACATAGAACTTGATCATATGGTGGTGTTCGTAATGGAACACATGGTAGCCATCAGAGAAGGCCGCAGCCCTTCCCTTCTCCATTCGTACTCACTGCTGAAATAGATGACACCCCACCCTGGCATACATCATTTAAAGAGATTTAATATTTAAACAAAGAGACTTAAAGAGGCAACACACCCCAATAAAGAGATTTAGCTCTGAGTTTTGGCCAGCCTGAGCTTAAGTTCAAACTTCCCTATTTGCCAGTTGATTCAAAGTCAGCACTGTTGGAATGGAATCGTATCTCCATTGTGTCTAGATTTTGTCTCCAAGGTCATGAACTTCTGCCAGCCCAGATATGTTATCTCCAAATAACTGTGGCTTGGGGAGCAGGTTGTGTAACCTCTTTAGATTTTTCTCATTTAGGATTCTTGTTGAAATCAAATAGAATGTGTCGTCTTCACAGAATCCTTAACACTTGGTAAGAACTGGCTTCGACAGTTAGACATTCTCTATCACTCCACAGTGTACAGAGTGGTTATATATTGTGTTATGTCATGCATTGGTCATTGTTTAACCTCACACAAGACTATGAATAATCATCATAAAACTTGCTATTTTAGAGATAAAACTAACTGGATCTGGCAAAGATCCAAAGTGTATGCTCAGAAACAATGGAGACATGATAGAAATGATTCTAGCTACACCTCTATGGCGTTGGTTCCAGAATCCAGACTCCTATTTATTTTTCTGAAAAACTTAGTTTCAGAAGAACAGATCTCAGCATGATTGAATGCATGCAACAAGCCAGCAGCTTCTATAGGAAGTTGTTTAAAGAAATAAAGAAGCAAGGCATGGTGGTACAGGCCTGCCCTCCCAGTAGACAGGAGGCCAAGGTGTGAGTTTGAGGCCAGCTACAAAGTGATTCCCTGTGGTTGGAAAGACAGGAGAGAGCTGGGCGGTAGTGGGGCACACCTTTAGTCCTAGCACTTGGGAGGCAGAGGCAGGTGGATCTCAGCAAGTTTGAGGCCAGCCTAATCTACAGAGTGAGTTCCAGGAAAGCCAGGGCTACACAGAGAAATCCTATCTCGAAAACTAAAAAAAGAAAAAAGAAAGAAGAAAAAGGAGAGAGAGAGAGAGAGAGAGAGAGAGAGAGAGAGAGAGAGAGAGCTAGATCCTTTTCTGTACCTTTAACTTAAAGCTCACTCCTTAACAAAGATAACAAGTTGTGAAGTCTGTAGTGGGCAAGGCATCATGGGTAAAGGTCCCAACAAGTACCAACAAGTACCAGCAGGCAGGGACAGCCTGGTGTCTGTGCAGCTTGACTGACTGATCTTGACACGTTACTTTAAGCATCTGTAATACAGAACCTGGTGTCCCCTGCACACTGCACTTACATGAGCTGTATCCAGACCTGGTTCTCTTGACACCGTGGCCTCACCCTTATTCTTCTTCTTCAGTCTCCTCAGCCCTGAGCAACACCAAAGACAGCCCTGTGCTCCTGGATTACCTTGAAGAGTCCGAAGTTCACAGACAACAAGCCCATAATGCCCTGGACAAGTACAAAAGGGAGAACGAAGGCTTTGCCTCTTTCCGAGTGGACCGAGTAGACAGGGTTATAAAAGCGGTGAGTTTTCCCTGCTCCGACCTGGTGTGGGGAGCTGAGGGGCACACACTGTCTACCTGCCTCACCTGGCCAGCCGCCTTTCTGACAGTTACAGCCTTCGATGCTCGGCCTCCAGCAAGGCCAATGCACAGCTTTTCTACAACTTCTTTTTCTTGAGAGAGAGAAGAACGAGGATACACTGAACATCTGAAAGGAAAAAGAAAAAATGATGGGGTTATTTGATCATTAAAAACCACCCAATTTTAGCCTTCTTGTATTATGATTAGAATACTGAGGCTCAAAAAAACAAAACCAAAAACAAAATCCTCACCATGACCAGCATTATTGATGATGCTGCTTCACAGTCCACGAATTCTAGTGCCTCCCCCACAGAACTGTCTGGTAGAACAGCCAGTTGATGGTTGGCCTTTGCTTTTAAAGATTTTGTATTTGTATGTATATGCGTGTTTGCTTGTGTATATGTATGTGCACTTTGCATGTGCTCTGCCCCCAGAGGCCAGGAGAGAACACTGGATCTCCTGCTGTGGGTACTGGGAATTGAACTCATGTCCTTTGAAAGAGCAGAAGGTACTCTTTTTTTTTAAAATATTTATTTATTTAGTATACAGTATTCTGTCTACTTGTATGCCTGCAGGCCAGAAGAGGGCACCAGACCTCACTACAGATGGTTGTGAGCCACCATGTGGTTGCTGGGAATTGAACTCAGGACCTTTGGAAGAACAGACAGTGTTCTTAACCGCTGAGCCATCTCTCCAGCCCCCAGAAGGTACTCTTAACAACCACAGTATTTCTCTAGCCCTGCCAAGTGTTTTGGAAAGGGAAACTCGAATAGGTCATGGTGTTTTATACAACGGGATACATATAATGTGTTTTGCTATGAAGAGTGTTCTGGACCCACGTGTATTGGGAAGAGAGAAAAAAGTTACAGGTCGCTACTAAGCTTATGAGTCCATGCAAACGAAATATTTAAATATCTAAATATCCACACATGTGAAAAAGCCTAGAAGAAGAAACACATCAAAGCAATGGCAATGGGGTTGAGGAGAATGTTCACACGTTGAGAGCACTCATGGTTCTTCTAGAGGACCTAGGTTGGCTTCCCAGAATCCACATGGTTGCTCACAGCCATCTGTAACTCTTATTCCATAAGATCTGATACCCTCTTTTGAACTCCTTGGACACTGCATGTACACGGAGCACAGTCACACATGAAGGAAAAACACCCCCCCACACACAAAAAAACATAAATAAAATGAAAAAAAAAAACCCAGTAGCACTGACATCCCCCAAGAATGAGGGTCTGGGCTCAGGGAGGGTGTATTTCCCTACAGTGCTTATGCTTGTATATTAAAGTTTCTGCAAAATGGTGATCTCTTATCACTGACGTCATATATTTTTTGGAAGCAGAAAGCATAGAAAAATAGCATGCATTTTTAATTTTAATTCCCATAGTGCTTTGTGAGATATTGCATAATAAGTATCTATTGCTTTTCCTTTTAACGTTTTTTGCTCGTGAAACTCTGCTGATTCCTCTGTTCTAGAGAGGAGGGGAAAGAACCAATTACTATGTGAACTTCTCTATGCGGAACTGTTCTACACAGTATTTCCACAGAAGGCCTCCAGTAAGTATGACACACACCTGTGAAACATGCCATTTAGACAGTGAACACTACTCAAAGGGGCTCTTTCCTGTCAAATGTTCCCTTACCAACACTGGCACCACCACTGCAGAAGGTAAGCGCTCATGCTTTCTCTGGTTTGCAGATGGGTAAGCGCTCATGCTTTCTCTGGTTTGCAGATGGGAAAATAGTTTTACCATATACATGATGTTATATACATACACCTGAAATTGAGTTGTCAATTCATCAAGACCAAAGGCTTAGTGAACTAATAACCAGCAGGTACTAGGGCCATCAACAACCATGAATCAACCCCCATGGGATGGCAAATGACAAGAGAAGAAGTGACCCTGGTTCCTGCCCTGGTTCACAGCTGAGCTTGGGTTAGAATCCAGGTCTGTCCAGCAGGACCTCATCCCTGATCAAACTGACCCGTTATCTGCCGGAAGATCTTACCAGAAATACTGGGTATCTCTGCCCCTTAGGCATTGCTTAGCAGGTATCCGGTCACAGTGATGAGAAAGTGGCTAACACATTTACAGCGCCTCTCCACCCACTGTCTACTGAGCTTCTCCTGAAGCCGCTGAAGCTATGAAAGTGTCTGGCTCCGCTACCCCGGAATAAGGAGACCTGAAATCTCTTTTTGTTTTGGTGGTTTGTTTGTTTGTTTGTTTTCTCAACAGGTTTCTTTGTGTATCCCTGACTGTCCTAGAATCTACTTTCTAGATCAATGTGGCCTCGACCTCAGAGAGAGTGAAATGCTGGGATTGAAGGGTGCTCCACCACCCACCCAGAGAGGCCTGAAATCTGAACCATTTGCCTGTGCACTCTTAGCCAGGAAATGTCAGCAAATGGGAACTCCATTTCGACCTCAACTCCAGGGCTTGTCTGTGGTTTAATGGCACGTTCACTTTCTCTGGCCAGATGGGAGGAAGCATCCACTGTTTCATGTTCCAACTGCTCAAATTTCCCAGGTGGTCCAATTCTAGATTCCTACTCAGAGGCCACAAAAGAGAAGACATTCTCTCTCCTAAACACATCCCTAACAAATTCCTTACTGTGTCTGTATGGTGCTAAAAACCCAGGACAGAATGCTGAGGGCTGGAGAAGGGGGGCACTAATAGCCTCACCTCTCTTAACTAAAGTTGTTTGTAACCTGTGAGTAGATAGTATTAAACTCATTTAACAGACATCGAATTTCAGAACTTTTGCTCAATTTGTCTCCCACTGCTGGTAAACCTTAAAGCCACATTCATATAGATTTGTTTGACTTCAAAACTGAATAGACAGTCTCAATGCATAACTTTTACTAGAAATGACGTGTCTTCTTGTCCTTTGGCAAATGGGTTTAGAGACTTTCAGAGCACAGGAATGCCAACCATTAGGGACAGAGGACAAGTTCACAAGGCCCAAGCAAACCCAAGTTTGCAGTGGCCCTGCCCTCCCCACCACTTTGCAAGATGCAAACCCATCTTCTAAGCCTTCCTCATTCTCCCAGGCACACATAATCTGGACCTTTAGTGCAGAAACAGTGCCCTAAGAGCAGAAGTGGGGTCCTTCCTAACACTGCCAACGGAAGTGCCAACAGTCCGCATGCCTACTCAGGGCAGAAAACCACGGAAATCTGAACAAAAACCTGAGGGCCCTGTACATAAGTGTTGACTAGATAACACTGATAAATAATTCATGGGATGTGTGATGGTATTGACCTCAGTTTCCCTTGTTTGTTCAGCTGTCTTGTGTGCAAGGCAGTGACTCCAAAAGGAAGTCACAGACCTGGTCCCTTTCCTCGATTATAAATCTTCACTCCCCTGTACTCAGACATGTACACATACATATGTGCACATTCACCATACATGCACTGACATACACTAACAGACATCTTCTTTCACAGGTCTTTGGATTCTGCAGAGCAGTTTTGTCCTACAACGTAGATGTCACTGACCTGGAAACCCCAGAAAACATTGACACAATCTGTAAGGAGTGTCTTTACACTCAAGAGGGCCTCACCTACTCCAACAGAGCCACACCCATTTCAACAAGGCCCCACCCACTCCAACAGGGCCACAATCACTTCAACAAGGCCACACCTACTCCAACATGGCCTCACCACTCCAACATACCCCATCCACTCCAACAAGGCAACACCTACTCAACAGGGCCTCACCTATTCCAAAATAGCCACACCCACTCCAACAGGGCCACACCTATTCCAACAAGGCCACACCTACTTCTACAAGGCCACACCTTCTAATAGTGCTACTCACTGTGGGCCTATGGAGTCCATTTTCTTTCAAACCACAAAGTCAGTAACTTTTAGAAGTCAGGTTAGAGCTCTGAGCAGCCTCCTCCAAAGCGGTATTTTTTACCTGCTGGCTGTTCTGGTTGTGAGCCTCCACTGAAAACGTTCACAGTGATCTGTGTCCTTCATGATAGTGTACCTTACTCACTTCCTCACCCTACCATCTGCTAGCTCCTCTTTTCCTTCTGCTCAACCTGGAAACTTATCTATGGCGAAGAAATACAAAGGTATCTTTATACTCTAAGAGCCTGGAACATTTGCGGGGCCTCACAGCCAGAGTTAATGATACACCTTAAAATCTCTTAAGTCCTAAGACTGCTGTCGTCCTGTGCACTCAGGGTGTTTGTTCGATTTGCCTCCTTTTTTTTCCCCTCAAGCAGTCTTTAATGGAAACTGTATGAGACGCCCCTACTCCTGCATCTTCTCAATCATTTCTTCCTTGTATTTGCCCTTCTCCTTTTCTACTTGTCGAGACTTGGCTTTCTTTTCCAGGATCTTCTTTCAGTCTTTGCCCAGCTTTAGCCTGGTGATACCCACCTTGTTGGGGTAGATGCCCACGTGGACAGATGTGCCATTAGCCTTTTCCCGCTGTACCCGTTCAATGTAGATGACGTATTTCTTCCTGTACACTTGGACCACTTTGCCAATCTGCTGGCCTTTGTAGTGTCCCTGGACAACAGGAACTTCATCATCCTTTCGAATGAGCATCGACCGAACATTGTACTTCTGTCTCAGCTCTTTGGCAAAGGGGGAAGACATGATCTTTCTCCGAATGTGAGAAGGTGCATTAAAATGCCATTTGCGGTTCTTGCTCTGGTCAGAAGTCACAAAGGGATTGAACTTCATTTTGGCAGCTGCAATCCAGCAATGGCTGCAAGAGGAAAGAGCTCGATTTGCCTTCTTGAGAACAGTCAGCAACCAATTTTATTTGTCTTAGATTTCCGATGTCAGATTTTATAACCTAAGCTATCGCAAAACTGTAATCTTAAATTATGTACTCTTCCACGTTCCCGATACAATGTAATGCATGTGTGTGTGTGTGTGCACATGTGTTATGATAATCATTTGCTGAAAACAGCGAATAGGCTGAAGGGGGCTTAATAAAATGAGTCTCAAGCATAAATGTTGAAGGTAACATGGATATTGCTCGATAGCGTGTGTTGTTTGTTATCTGGGTCATTTTGATGTAGGAGAAGTTTGAAGGACTGATGCTATAAAGGATTTACGAATAAACATTCTTCAGGAAATATTAAGTTCCAGGAATTAGAATTGAGTTGAAGGAGCGCTGCCTCTGATACGACCTCAAGGTTAGTGTACTGACCACACTTGTTTGAAATACAAAAGAAAATTTTATGACATAATTGAAATGGTGGTGTGTGCTGTCATTGTAGGGAAACCTACACGTGTGGAGGGTTTGACTAGTGTAGTAATGAGATGAGCAGGACTGTTTTTTGTCCTGTCCGGCTCCCACATGGCTAGCTTTACACCTGAAATAACAATACACAAATTGTATTCATTTAAACACTGCCTGGCCCATTAGTTCCAGCCTCTTATTGGCTAATTCTCACATCTTGATTAATCCATTTCTAATAATCTGTGTAGGACCATGAGGTGGTTGCTTACCGAGAAGATTCTAACTTACGCCCATCTTGGGCCAGAGCTTCATGGCGTCTGCCTGACTCAGCTTTCTTCCTCCCAGAATTCTGTTCTGTCTATGCTATCCACCTAAGGGCTGGCCTATCAGAAGGCCAAGGCAGTTTCTTTATTAACCAATGAAAGTAACACATAGACAGATGACCCTCCTGCATCAGACTAGTTTAACCGTGCACTGAAACAGAGGACGTGGAATAGCAATGTAATCAATGGAACAGTAATTGTACCTATTGCATAGCTGGTGAAGGGCTGGCTCCAACAAGGAGCAAGCAAGCGTTAGGTCGCTAATGCTCAGACTTTCTTTGCTTCCCCATAATCACAGCCTTGTGTGCTACTGTTATTTAATAGAACCCCTGCTGAATTGATTATGTCTATGTTTTCCTTTGGGGTTTTGTAAGCCAGATGATTTGGACACAGGTTGGAAGACAAGTCACATGATTGAGACACGCGCAGACAGGCTGCAAAAGATTTGAATAACTGCTTAGACTTGACAGCCTTAAACCTGCTGTCCTAGCTTTAACAAGATCCTTTTACCTAGGAGATATATGCCGGCTCCACTGTACTCCTGCGACTCCAGCGTTTCCCAGCCCTTGCTGAAGCTAGCTCTTCCTCAGGTGTGCAGTCGTAGGACAGTCCTCTTTGTTGGAGACATGAATGGCTGGACATGCGCACTGGCTACTGCATTCACCTTTGCGTTTTTGTAGACATGCAGTGGATTTGTGTAACCTTTTACAATACCTGTATTTATTATTCCGTATTAGAAAGTTGATAATGTACCAACCAGGAGCACGTCTTCCTACACAATGTGCCCATAATTGCTGCTTCTGTAGAATAGTCTACATTCTTGAACTAATGAGGGCCCATGCTAGAGTCTTTACTCATGCAGCTAAAGAACTGAACTTTTCTGTTTGTTATTAATATCCGTGACTTTTGCTGGCCTTGCACAATTATGACATGACACGTAGGCTTATCTTTAGCTCTGTGCAGAACATCTCATTCTGACGTCCACAAAATTACAATACATATAATTTATAAAAAACCTTCTAACTGTAGAATCTATGCTTTCACGATCAACCTAGGCTGCTTCTGAACATGCCGACATCCTGTTAGTATGCTTCTGTACATATCAATTCCCGTTAGCCTGCTTCTGTACACACTGACATCCCGTTAACCTGCTTCTGAACACACTGGCATTTCATAAGTAATGCTGTGTGGGAGGTTTGTACATTGTCCTCATGTTCACAAACATAGAAACCATTGTAATTGGTCCAGTAGCATTGCAAGAGGCTAACAGAATTGGATGTTGCTTTTAGCTCCTCTTTTATTGGTTTCTGCTCTAATTCATTAACATTATGCAATGTTTTGGAAATGGGGCTCTGCCTTCCCACATTCTTTCCAAAGTCAAAGGCGCAAGTCAACAACCCCTGTGTTGCAATGTTTCAGCCTGAAACCTGCTTGGAGAGCTAACCAAGTCTTATTTGTTCTCTGGGAAGAGGGCAAACAGTTTTTGACTGCAGGAATCTAAAAAGGGTCCCAGTGGTCAGACAGAGAGAAAGGAGGACTGGACAGAACAGAGAGGCTGCTAAAAACAGCTGCTGAGTTGGCTTCCAGTTCTCGTCAAAACGACCCCTCTGACTCTAGGGGGAAACTCGAATCATGAAGCTAGTTACTATACTGTTCCTCTGCTCCAGGCTGCTCCTAAGTTTAGCACAGGAAGAAAGCACCGAGGAAATCGACTGCAATGATGAGGATGTGTTTCATGCTGTAGAAGCTGCTCTGAAGAAGTACAATGCTGGGAACCAAACTGGCTACCAGTTTGTGTTGTACCGAGTGACGGAGGGCACTAAAATGGTGAGTGACTGCTTAACCCTGAGATCACTTGTAATTCGTGCTCTCTGGCATGGGAGTAGAGCACGGGAGGTGGTCAGTCCTTAGGTAAGCAAGAGTGGCTTCCTGGGTGACCCTAAAAGCCGTGTCCCGGGAAGACAGAAACAGCAGCAGGTGGAGATGTTTGAAAGGGACAAGGCACAGGGAAATCCAGCAACTTAATCAGCCTTGGGTCTGTGAACTCAATGACCTCCCAGTCTTAAGTGAGAGTTCTGCATGGGCTGAATAAAGGGAACAGGAAGAGAGTTGTCATCATTGCCTTGGACCAAGTGAATACCACCAAGTGTGTGTAGCGGATTCTTTGAGGTTTATAACAATGTTTCCATTAGTTTTCTTTAGTCTGGGGGATGCAGGGAGGTTGAGGCAGGGTGTCAGGCAGCCTTAGACTGACCGCGACTTTGTTATGGTGCTCATGATAAATGCAAACTTTTCATCTTCTGGCCTGCATCTCCCTAGTGCTTTGATTACAGGCGAGTGCCTCCATGCGAGGTTTATGTGGTGCCAGGGATTCAAACCCAGTGTATGCTAGGTAGGCAAGCTACTCCCCGCCCCCCTGTCTGTTTCAGCTGGATTTTACTATGCTTTCATTTCTGCCTTAGTCCACTCAGGCAGGAGGCAAATGTAGGCAGGATTCATAAATCAGAGAAAAACAAACTCTATAAGAGTTTTAAAAATAGCTGGGTGAAAGCTGGGCAGGTGGATCTCTGTGCATTTGAGGCCAGCCTGCTCTATAGAGCAAGTTTCAGGACAGTTAGGGCTGTTACAAAGAGAAAACCTGTATTGAAAAAAAGCAAGATAGATAGAGAGTTAGATATAGATAGATATATAAATAGATGATTGATAGATAGTTAGATAGAGATTGATAGATTAGATAGATAGATAGATGATAGGTAGGTAGATAGATAGAGATTGATAGATTAGATTAGCTAGATAGATGATAGGTAGATAGAGATTGATATATATAATAGATAGATGATAGATGGGTGGAGATAGATAGATAGATAGATAGATAGATAGATAGATAGATAGATAGATAAACAGATAGAGTTCACAGACTAGAGAGGTGGTCGGTGGTTCAGGGCACTGACTACTCTCTAGTAGAAGAGCTGGGTTCAGTTCTCAACACCCATGGTCATTCAGAGCCATCGATAACTCGAAATATGGTACCTCTTTTGGCCACGATGTTTGTTTGTACCAGGAACACATGTAGTATATGTACATATATTCAGTGAAATACTCACACACATTTAGAACTTTTTAAAAATGTAGAAGTTTTTAAAATACATAATATAATAAATTATACTTTTAAAGACTCTTTCTTTGGATTGGTCAAGTTACTTCAGCAGGAGAAAAATCCAATAACTTGACATGAGAATAAAAAGAAAACCCTGATGGACGTAGACTTTGCTTGTTTTCTGGAGGTAAAATGAAGCCTTTTGTTTCTTGCTACAGTACAGCTCGCATTCTCCCTCCACACTCTCTGGGCCACTGTGCACTGTTGTCTCCATTGGATGGTGGATGTCCCTATAGTCGGCTTCCCCTCCCGGACACTGGAGATCCAGCCCAGGGCAAACGTCACCTGACCTCTAAGCTGGACCCTGGCCTTTGGTTTTTTTTTGACGCAGTGCCTCCTTATGTAGCTCTGCTGGCCTTGAAGCCAAGGCCCTCCTGTCTCAGCTCCCCAAGTGTGGTACCCGGATTACA